GCTCCAAGCTTACTCCTGTGATGGACTACAATCTCAATACAAATTAGTAAACTAAACATGACATTGTAGTCCATCGCAGGAGTGGGCTTGGAGCAGTGGCTACTTTACAACACACAGGGACCATGGGGAACAAAAAAAGCCGCCCTCCAAAAGTAGGGACAGTGTCGGCACCAATTCAGAGATGGTTTGAGGATCTACAGCCAAAGATACATTTTTGTTAAAGGAGAACTATGAGGTGAGTGCTTTTCACTCACCTCATAGTTCTAGCCGACCTATGACAATGAGACTGTCACAGGTCGGCTCAGTAGATCGGGAGGTGAGAGAACACGTACCGGGTTCGCTCACCTCTCGATCCTGTCACGGCTCTCTGCCATGACAGGGGGAGGGGCTGGATTCCCCTCTCCCCACTCCGATCTGCCAGCGCTGACTGGCGGAACGGACGGGGGAGGGGGCGGGTACAGCTGGCTCTGCCTCCTAGATAGGCAGAGCCAGCTATCACTCAGGCAGCTGGGCGGATCGCGTCATTTAAGTCTGGATCCGCTCCGGCTGCGGCGTCTCAGTATACCGCGAGCTGTATCTCGCGGTATACTGAGCTTAGGGTAACGGGAGGACGCTAGTTTGTGTCCTCCCGTTACCCTAAGGAGAACTATGGGGAAAAACGCTGACCCCATAGTTCTCCTTTTAATAGTTAAGGTACTTGAATGTATTTTTAACATTTAACTTCTGAGTTAAGTGTCACTTATCTAAACAAAAACAAAAAACAAGTATGCAGTGCCGGATCTGTCCAAAATGGGACATGTGGCTGTGCTCTGGCCAATCCCATTTCTTTTTTAGCTGTTGATGGTTGCATTACAACTTCCTGTTGTTGTGGATCATTCTGCAATGAAAATTGGCAGGGACCCAACATCAGAATAACGAACCGAATTTTGGATCCGAAAGACGAAAAAAATATCCGAATCGATCTGAAACTAAACAAATTAGTTGCTGAGTTACATGTCTATTTCAATATGCATGCTTTTTTTTTTTTTCTTTTCCAGGTTGAAGCCCGGGAACCATCATTTTGAAGCAACCCACAATCGCAGCTTCACAGTACAGGTTTCATTTGACTACATATGCTTTTTTGATAATTTTTTAAAGTTAGTCTACAACTTAAAATAGTAAAAAGGTTTAATAAACCTGTATTGTTTTGTGACTGGCCAGAGCACAGGGGTTGTAAATGTATGCAACTTTAATTTTAAAGGTTCATGCTCCAGGAATCCAATCCAATTCCATACTCAGTTATGTACGGAGTCTCTGGCCTGGAACAAAAGTGTATGCTGGGTGTCCTGAAATCTCAGCCAAGTGGTATTAAATGGGGCTGAGGCACACCTGTCATTGTCATGTGATTACAAAATTCATGTTATTCTAAATATATAAATTAAAACATAATATAGGTTCAATCACTTATTCCACCTCAGTCTCACTCCCACCACATTATTATAATATAGCAATCCACATCTCAATATCTAATCAGTATTGACAAGGGCGACATGAGAGCTTCCGATGCATTTTGTGAGCAAAGTTCACGTCATCAGCAACGAGGTGAAAATCGATAACCTAAATTTATAAATTGTTACGATTTACAATCTGTTGGCCATCACTTCTACACTGTATAATGGTGATTTATGTGAATATTGTCATAAAATTTGATAAAATCTCATATACATATACTTGTTCTAGGCTAGTGGTTCACCTAGTAGTGAAGAAAGGATAAGGATGGCAGCAATTTAGTAAAAGCAAGCCAGAAAATGTAGCCTCTGTATTTCTGTCCTGACAGGTTTTTTTTTTAAACTGCACTTTCTTCCAATAAAATAGATTCCAGAGAGCTCCTCACATGTGAGTTAGTAGGTTCTGTTGCTAGAGCTTGTGCTGTAGAGCGTTCACTATCTGCATGATGAAATAGCATGATGAAAGACCAATCAGATTCAGGTTTCCAATGCAGGTCTGAAGCTCACCGAGGCCTCTAAGGAGCATCATAGTGCCATATTCGAATACATTAGGCTAGCTCATGGAAGAGACCACAAGGAGTCAACTGTGTCTGAGAATTGTTCTGCTGTATTACAAACAGGGAAGTAGGGATGTTCAGGTACCAAGTACCGTGCTCGGTACAAGTACACGTAAAGATACCTTTCCAGCTCCTAGACTAGAGAAATATTCAAAAGTTAGGAGGCAGCTGTCGTCATTTTTAAGGTGGATACGGAGCTCCTGGGATTTGTACATCTCTGGTTTAATGTATATGATTTTTTTTTTTAACATACATAAGAGATGCCCCAATATCATTTTTTCAAGTACAAGTACTGATACTTGTCCAAGTCCTCACAGATACAAGTACTGATACATTTTTGTTTATTGTCATGTGACGGTTTTTCTAAAACAATACGGACTAATGATTTCAGGACAGCAGTGGGGGTGCTAGAGCCAGGTCCCCGCTGCAACCCTGGTAGTTCTCGTGAAAATGCCAAGTATCGGCACTGGTATCTGAACATCCCTGCAGGCAAGCAAAACGAGTTCCCAGATAACTAACAAAGGGTAAAGGGATGGACAGGGGTTAAATAGCTGAAGCCCTGTGCAGGTAGTCTGTATGCTTCCTCTGCATTTTAAAGTGTATGTATACCATACAAATGAGCTCCCTGTTGGTCTGTTAACTATCCCATTAAAAAGGTTTGTTATACATGTTACATTTTGGTTCCTCCACCCAGGGGGGAACGTATACGCTCATCCTCCACCCAGGGGGGAACGTATACGCTCATCCTCCACCCAGGGGGGAACGTATACGCTCATCCTCCACCCAGGGGGGAACGTATACGCTCATCCTCCACCCAGGGGGGAACGTATACGCTCATCCTCCACCCAGGGGGGAACGTATACGCTCATCCTCCACCCAGGGGGGAACGTATACGCTCATCCTCCACCCAGGGGGGAACGTATACGCTCATCCTCCACCCAGGTGAAAGGTGTACACTGTACAGTAATCCTCCATACATTGGATTGTATACAGTAGTCTTCTCTACATCGTATACAGTAATCCATGTGAATGATTTATAGAACTATTCTCCATCTTGGTGATGAAGGTAAAGTCTCTGTGTTCTATCCTTCCTCTGGGCTCCTCTGATTGGAGGAGATTGATCTGAGTGCATACCGATCACCTGGAACACATCTATGACTCGATCAGCCAGCGTGGCTCTGTTTACATTATGGTGAGGTTTACATTGAAGTTGTTTCTCTTCTCTGAACCACGTGGTGCGAGGAAAGAGGAAGTCACGTGTTCTCCAGCATTCGGAGGGGGATTTCCTTGCTCCATCCTACTACCGTGTCATCGGCTCCCTGCAGCCAATCGGCGAGCGGCTCCCGGAGCCGGGGAATTCCAGCTTTCTGGGAGGAAGAGTCTAGTAACTTTATCTGAAGAGTTGTGATCTGGCCATAGCGGGGCCACGGCCGCCCACTGGGCTCCATTATACTCACAACAGCTTGACATTGTGCCCGGGTACAGCCAGGATGAGGGAGCCGGGCAGGGCAGGTAGGTGTGACAGTCATCTTGTGGGTGTTGGGGAACTACAAGTCTCAGCGAAGTTTGCTTTGGGCCTGTATGGTAGATGAATATCGGATGACAGTTCTGTACCATTCTGTCTTCTTCCTCTGCTATGAAGAAGTGGGGGGAGGGGGTTGGAATTTAATATTGTGTCCCTGATTTCAAAACTCAGTGATTGTGCCTTCCATGATTCATCTGATGATGTCAGTAGGTGATCCTTCTGGCTTTGTATCCAAAAACAAATTATCTGCTCATAATCCAATTTATCATTTGGGAATAGGCCACAAACACATGGCTGATGTCACTTTCTTGTGTGCAAGATCTCCAGTGAATGTTCACTTTGGCTGCAAAATGTTAGGTGAATGTCCCTCCTTCACCATGGCTACAGTACCTCCGGTGAATGTTTCCCGCTCACCATGGCTGCAATGTTTTTCAACTGACCCCAGGCTGTTTATGGTCATGTGACTAAAAGTGTATTGCCACCTTGGTGGTCAAAATGGAGAACCCCCTAAACACACACACTATGTTTTATATGTTACAATTCACACAGCATAAGATATTTCTTCCCTTCTAGTTGATTCTTTGCAGCAGAATTGTATATAGGACGCTATAGGCAGCTTGTGATGTACAATTAGAGGGGGGCAGATTGAAGTGCCGGTCTTTGTGTAAATGTGTTAAATACAATGTACCATCTAAGCCCTGAGATCTCTTTAACCCTTTTTTAGGACAGGCAGTGTACACATCTAGTTTATAACTAGGATCTGACAAACCGACAGGGTTTATTATGGCAAAGCAAACATGAACTCCCCAACCCCCTCCATACTCACCTTAGCTCCAGCTCTCATCAGCCCTTTAGGGGTTCTAAATGACGGGAGACAGAGGTGGGCTTTATGTCTTTGCTGTGATTGGCTGTCACGGCGGTCATGTAATCAGAAGCCCATCCCACTGGCTCCTGATTGTATACGGTGACTGTTCGGGCGCTGTGCACTCACACAACATTGGACTGGCTGGACACATGTATGCATACGTCCCACGTTACAGCCCACCCACCGTGCTGACACGTATGTGGGAAGTGGTTATCATTACACATTAGAGGAAAGCAAGGAAGGATTTGTAAGCAAGCAGAAAGGTAAGCAGCAATTTTTACATATTTTATGTAATGTGAATGGGAACAAATATAAAGCGGGCGTTATCCCAATTTGGCTCCAAAAGTAGAAATACAATATTAACCCTTGCAGTGGGACTACTCCTGCAATGCAAGGGTCCGGTCCGATCCTCAGTCCCATGGTGGTGACCTCTCGCATCTCTCCCCCTCCGCTCTGGCTGGGGAATGTCCCCCGGCATCCTCAGGATCAGCACAAGTAAATGGACATGATGACATCACAGTGTGCAGGTGACATAACTGCAGGAGCTTGCTTTTCACATGATTGGATGATTGATGTTAAACTTTACATAATTTATTGTGTGAATGTTCCCAACTCATTTAGTGAATCAGTCTCACTATCTCGTCCCTGCAAAGTGGACATTTATTTATTATTGGTATTTATATAGCGCCGACCATTTACACAGCGCTTTATATAGAACACATTCGCATCACTCCCTGTCCTCAAGGAGCTTACAATCTAAGGTCCCTATCTCACATACAATAAATTGCCAAAAGTATTGGGACGCCGGCCTTTACATGCACATGAACTCTAATGGCATCCCAGTCTTAGTCTGTAGGGTTCAATATTGAGTTGGCCCGCTCTTTGCCGCTATAACAGCTTCAACTGTTCTGGGAAGGCGTCCACAAGGTTTAGCAGTGTGTCTATGGGAATGTTTGACCATTCTTCCAGAAGCGCATTTGTGAGGTCAGGTACTGATGTTTGGAGGAGAAGGCCTGGCTCGCAGTCTCTGCTCTAATTCATTCCCAAGGTGTTCTATCGGGTTGAGGTCAGGACTCTGTGCAGGCCAGTCACATTCCTTCACCCCAAACTCGCTCATCCATGTCTTTATGGACTTTGTTTTGTGCACTGGTGTGCAGTCATGTTGGAATAAGGAGGGGCCATCCCCTAACTGTTCCCACAAAGTTGGGAGCATGAAATTGTCCAAAATGTCTAGGCATGCTGATGCCTTAAGAGTTCCCTTCACTGGAACTAAGGGGCCAAGCCCAACCCCTGAAAAACAACCCCACACCATAATCCCCCCTCCACCAAACTTTACACCTGGCACAATGCAGTCAGGCAAGTACCGTTCTCTTTGTGGCTTTCTCAGGTCTATCTGTGAGGCTGAGATTGTATTGATGCAATATGATGATCCATGTAGGTTTCCCTAGTCTGTTTCTTATAGACAAATTGGCTGTACACTCGCCTATGAGAAGAGCCATGGATAGCCCCCATGGGCTGAATGAGGAAAAAACACCCCCACTGGGCTATTGTATTCTGACACCGGGGAGTGTCTGGCTGACATTTATTATTATTATTATTATTATTACATAGTATTTATATAGCGCCAACAGTTTGCGCAGCGCTTTACAATATAAGGAAGACATTACAGTTACAATACAATTCAAGACAAGATGGTAAAGAGGGCCCTGCCCGTGAGGGCTTACAATCTAAAAGAGGAGGGGGAAATGATACATGAGGTAGCTGTTGTAATTAATTATGCGAGAATGTGAAGGTTCAGTGGTTAGGTTGAGGTGGGATAGGCTTCCTTGAAGAGATGAGTCTTTAGGGAACGCCTAAAGGCAGTCAAGGTGGGAGATAGACGGACAGGTTGGGGTGAGGAGTTCCAGAGGATGGGAAAGACTCTAGAGAAGTCCTGGAGGCGAGTATGGGTGGAGTGGACAAGGGAGCTGGAAAGCAGGAGGTCAATGGATGAGCGGAGGGGACGTTTAGGGTGATACTTTGAGAAAAGGTCTGAGATATATCCGGGGGCAGAGTTGTGGATGGCTTTATAGGTGACTGTTAATATTTTGAATTTTATCCTCTGGGCGAGTGGAAGCCAGTGGAGGGATTGGCAGAGGGGGGATGCAGACACTGAGCGGTTGGTAAGGTGAATGAGTCTAGCAGCTGCATTCATGATAGACTGAAGGGGGGATATCCTGTGTAGTGGAAGGCCAATGAGGAGGGAGTTACAATAGTCAAGACGAGAGATAACAAGGGAGTGTATGAGTAGTTTTGCGGTGTCATTGGTGAGGAAGGGGCGTATTTTTGAGATGTTACGAAGGTGAAGGCGGCAGGATTTGGATAGCGATTGGATGTGGGGAAGAAAGGTGAGGTCCGAGTCAAGGATGACACCTAGGACCTTGGCATGGGTGGAGGGTTGGATAGTTGTGTTATCAATCACAACTGAAATGTTTGGGGGAAGGTGCACGGGGTGGAGGAAATATCATGAGCTCAGTTTTTGAAAGGTTGAGTTTTAAGAAATGTTGTGACATCCAGACTGATATGTCATTTAGTAGATTAGTGACACGCAAGGACACTGAGGGGGAGAGTTGTGGAGTGGAAAGATAAATTTGAGTGTCATCGGCATAGAGATGGTATTGGAAGCCATGTGAGGTTATTAGTTGACCAAGGGAGGAGGTGTAGATGGAGAAGAGGAGGGGTCCAAGGACTGAGCCTTGGGGGACCCCTACAGAAAGAGGAAGAGGAGGGGAGGAGATAGAATTGTAGGTGACACTGAAGGAGCGCGTAGATAAGTAGGATGAGAACCATGAGGAGCAGCGGGTGGTCAACAGTGTCAAAAGCAGCATGGCATGATTGGTTTCATTCACTGTTCGGACTGTCGCCTTCGACAAAACGTCGACTTTTGTCGAACATACAGTAGTGGTGGTGACAGGGCCACACACTGCTTGAATTTCAGCAGGGCTCATCCAAAATTCAGCCAGTGTATGGCCAACTTAAAGGCAAACTATACCCACCAATTTAGTGTCTGACAAAATAGTTACTTTCAAGGCATGCCTCCGGTAATAACTGTCAAGGTTGCCATTGTTCTTATTTCAGCTCTCGGTATAATTAGTGCAGGCCCGCTTATTTGGTGGTTAATGAGTTAGTACACTGCGGTTGATGTTGATGCCACCGCCTGCTTCATGGGAACAGTCTTAGGCCTGGTTCACACCTGGGCGTTTTGTAGCGCGTTCGAACGTTCTGCAAAACACTCAAACACTGAAATCCCGCGACAAACGCGCATATTCGATACGCCTAGGTGTGAACCCAGCCTTAAAGGTTAGTTCACACAATAAGCAGTGCGTTCCAGTCCGAATCTGTCGAACGCACTGCATTGCATTGGGGCCGGAATGCACTGCATCGCATTGCGGCTGGCTCACTTTATTGCTGGGCCTGGGGGAGGCGTGGCAGGGCCATTGAAGTGAATGGTACCGTAGCCACGCCCTCCGGCAGCAATGCGATCACCCGCACGGGATCGCAAGGCACATTGTGCCTGCAGTGCGGTCCGGTGCAATCAAAATACGGCAAGCACTATTTTGATCGGACCGCACTGAGTTAATGAGTTAGTACACACTGTGGTTGGTGTTGATGCCACCGCCTGCTTCCATGGAACAATCTTTATGGGCGGTATAATTGGTGCAGGCCCGCTTACTCAGTGGTTAATGAGTTAGTACACACTGTGGCTGCTTTCCTAAAGGAGTAGAGCATTTTCACTTTGCAAGTGAGTTTTCACTTAAATTGGTCATAGTAGAATTTGGTTTGAAACGCGCAAATGTGTGTACTATGCGTTTTTCAAGTTTTATCTTGCGCAGAACCTCCCGGACTGTTTAAGACATCCCCCTCATGAGCCTTCGTGAGGGTAGACTTGATCATCTGCATTGATTTTTCCCCATCTGATCACTTTCCTTCCATATCGCAGATGTCTTTCGGGTGCCTCCCTGTATGTATTCTTCGTAGCATAAATATGCACTTTCAGCCCATTTAGTTGTGCATGTTTGTACAGCAGTCTTTCAGCAGCTAGGTCATGCATGCATGAGTGGCAACCATCTTTTGTTTGTATTTCTTTTACCATGAAATCTAAAGGTCTTTTTTGAAAGAACGTCTTCTTTCACATCAGTAGCTAACATCCCAATCCTTATGAGTTTGTTTTTTTAAGTGCTGAAAATAGAGGCATTGTTTAAACAGACACTTGGTAGCTAAGTGGCTGCCTTCCAGTGTTCGGGTGCTCAATTTGATCCCCACCATGTGCACTAGCTCTGTGTTTTCCCATAATTTCTAGACATACTGGTAGGTTAAGTGGCTGTACTGTGTGTGTTTTTGACTGTAGTAAGGGGATTAGATTGTAAGCTTCTTTGGGGACAGGTGATGTGAATGATTCGGTATTCTCTACAACATTGTGGAAAAAGCATTAAAGGAGAACTATGGGGTCAGTGTTTTTCCCCATAGTTCTCCTTAGGGTAACGGGAGGACACAAACAAGCGTCCTCCCGTTACCCTAAGCTCAGTATACCGCAAGCTACAGCTCACGGGTATACTGAGACGCCGCAGCCGGAGCGGATCCCGACGTAGATGACGAGATCCGCCCAGCTGCGTAAGTGACTGCTGGCTCTGCCCATCTAGAATGAGCCAGCTGTACCCGCCCCCGTCCGATCGGCCAGTCAGCGCTGGCAGATGGGAGAGGGGAATCCAGCCCCTCCCCCTGTCACGGCAGAGAGCCGTGACAGGATCGATAGGTGAGCGAACCTGGTATGTTTTCGCTCAACTCCCGATCTACTGAGCCGACCTGTGACAGTCTCATTGTCACAGGTCGGCTAGAACTATGAGGTGAGTGGAAATCACTCATCTCATAGTTCTCCTTTTAAGAAAAAAGGATAGCATTAGAAAGAATAGAAAATTAGAAAATAAATAGGGAATAATAATGCCACGTCACATGATTTTAAAATGGCTTATAATGAACGTACCTTTATGTTAAAGGAATACATAGAATATACTAAAACAGTTTACCTTTCTAATATATAGTATGCCCGAAACATTATTTTCTCCAAGGCTGACATATTCTGCACCATTTTACGTAAAACGTGTTGTGGGAACGTATGACACCATTTGTTTAGACTGGCACCCTAATACACAGTACAGAAGGTGTTAATGGACCCACCCTGAAGCACTTACCATGCATTACAGTTCACCACAAAAGAGCCGCAGGT